TCCAAAGGTGCTTGCAGACTCAAACGTATTTGGGACCCTGGACTTAATCTCACTCTTAGTACCAGTACCAGCATAACAGTGGGGAAATGTAAAGAGCAAATACAAACAGAGAAGAATACTGTTTATTACTTCAAGGCTTTCAAAGCACTTCACATACTTGATCTCAGTAGTCCTTACAATACCCCTATAAAGTAGGCTAGTGTTATCCACATACTGTGGGGGTGATGCACTAAAGCTTACCTAGTGAATAGCAGAATTCAGAGAGGAACCAGGCACCTTCTAGTTCATTCTTTTGGCTACTACACCACACCAATTAAATTAACCCAGGCTGACTTAATGTATGAAATTCTATGTTGGAATCTATCACAAATCAGAGGGTAATAAACAACAGATTGAAGCTTTAATTAGCAATTCTGATTCATCTTTAATGTTAATTAATCAACTGAATTAACAGCAATTAGAATGTTGGCAATTCTTAAATCCTGAATTTGCTTAATTGGGCTGATATCTCAAACAGTTTCCATTGATTTTGAAGAGACCTGCATAAGTTGAAAGAATGCAAAACATTAGTCTGTGCAACATTCAAATTCTTTGTGAATATCTACTTGAACACAAAAGGGAGGGAGACAGAATATGTTGCTATGGTAACCAGGGCATTTTGCTTTAAGACAACATACAAGGAAAAAGGACACCGAATAGGCAAAATACTCAAGGAGACACTTTCTTAGGTGCAATCAGTGACCTAACATTAAAGAAAATTGCATTGTGTTTGGGGAAAGCATGAATAAAATGGGGGAGGGCTGTTAGGCATGATCAAGTATCCTTTCCCACATAGTTCCATATCTAAATAATCTAACGATAGCTTTTCTCTCAAGTAAAAAAATGGTACAATGTCTACTAAATTAATAACCTAGACTTAAGCCTCTTAAGCAAAGGCTGTATCGTTTTCTTGTATACCTAGAATATCAGGATTTATATACTAATTCCCTACATTGGTAGATTTAAAATTTGCAGTTAGCAACACCTACTTTCAGAATTTGATCTGCAACTATAAATGCTAAAATATGCTGTGTTTGGGTTTTTTTTAAAAAAATATGCATGTGGCACCTAAAAAAATGTGCTAGATTTCACACACACAAATGGCTCTAAAGGAATGCCAGTTTTCGGCACTGTCATGCTGTGATACGACCAAGAAACAGAACCCACAATATACTATGCAAATAAAGATGTGGTGCTTCCTGTGAAACAGATTTAGTTCAGTTGAGGAACAAGAATGGGATTTAGCACACCTTCAAAATGTATACACCAATTTCTTTCCCCTCCTTCCTCAAATAAATGGTCACTCATATGCACAGCAACACTATTTGTTTGGTTGGGCAGATTGCGGTTTGGCGCACTGGCTGTTCCAGGGACAGATGATAATATGAACATTAGAATGAAAAGGTAAATTTGCTAAATAAGGATCTGGATACTCCATTGATATACCCCAACTACTATGCCATCACATTATGAAAAATAAGGCTTTTAGAATTAAGCATCTAATAACAAAGGCAGGATTTGTGGAGACATTTAAACATACCCATTCACATTTTGCTCTCTGCTGTTTACCTTATAACTTTACTAATCATGGATATGATAGATATACCTGTCACTGCTACACTATAGCCATCTGCACAGATATACCCCTAGCATGACTGTAGTATGGCCATCTGCAGTGAGTTATCTACCACAAATCCAAGATCTCTCTCCTGGTAGATAACTCACTGAAAATGTCAACAAAAAAAGGCAAATGCTATGCTGGGGATTATTAGGAAGGGGATTGAAAACAAATCAGCCAATATCATAATGCCTCTGTATAGATATATAGTGCAGCCTTATTAGAAAGACTGTACAGTTCTGGTCACTGCACCTCAAAAAAGATATAGCATTGGAAAAGGTGCACAAAAGGGCAACTAAAATAAGGGGATGGAATACCTTCCCTATGAAAAAAGGTTAAAGAGGTTAGGGCTCTTTAGACTTGTAGAAAGGATGACTGAGAGGTGACAAGAGAGGTTTCAAAATTATGCATGGGATAGAGAAGGTATAGAACAGATTACTTTTCTCCCTTTCCCACAATACAAGAACTTGTGGGCATTCAATGAAATTAATGAGCAGTAGGCTTAGAACAGATAAAAGGACGTACTTCTTCACCCAAAGAGACAGCTTCAAGAGAGGACTGGATAAACATATGGAGCTGAGGTCCGTCAGTGGCTATTAGCCACAGTGTATAGATAGAACACTATGTCTGAGGCAATGATGTGCTGTGTGCTTGGGAGGCAACAGTGGGAGGGCTTGGGAGGGCTTTTGGAGTTCTAGCCCCTCTGGTGGACCTCCTGATGTCACGTGGGTTTTGGCGACTGTGACACAGAGTGTTGGACTGGATGGGGCACTGGCGTGAGCCAACATGGCTTCTCTTCTTAAGAAAAGCTCTGAAGTCAGTGACACTGTTAAAGGCAAGTGTTCTAAGCGGGACACTTAATAGAACACGTAAAGGGCACAAAGTGGAAATCTAGAGATGCACCAAATCCTCCATTGAGCTTTATGAGCCTTTCAAGCATACACCTGCACCATGACAAGCAATTTGCTAGTATTTAATAGCTGATAACTGAAAACCCATTTAATTACAGCTCCAAATCCAATGAGTTTATTTTCTCATTCAGAAACTTTTCTCACCACCACCCCCAATTTATTTTACCCTCTTGTTGCAGACCTTTCATCATCTGTTGAAGTCTTATTTATTCTGGAGGACTTTTGGGCAGGTTGGTTTAATTGTTTCATCTTTAATTGTTACTATCTTGCTGTAGTTTTATGATTACTGTTTAATTCTCAAGAGCCAATTTGGTCATGCCTGGCAGGAAAAGCAGAATTATTTTTTTTAGTTGGTTGGATCTCACTCAAATTTTCCATGCATGGAAATATTTCCATGCACAGCAGCACAGCTTCCCCTATTTTTATGGTTGGGCAGATTTGCACACTGGTTGATCCAGGGATAGATGATCATGTGGAAATTAAGAATGGAAAGGTAGATTTGCTAAATAAGGATTTGGATACCCATTGACAACTACTGTGCCATTTTGTTATGGAAAGTAAGGCTTTTATAATTAATCATTTATTTATTTAATTTATATCCCGCCCTCCCCGACAAGGCGGGCTCAGGGTGGCTTACATAGAGACATTTAATGACAAACAAAGCCAGGATTCATGGAGACATTCAAACATACCGATTCATATTCTCTGCTGTTTACTTTACAACTTTACTAATCCTGAATGTGTTGCTGTGGATAGATATACCTGCAACTGCTGCACCATAGCCATCTGCACAGATATATCCCTAGCGTGGCTGTATTATGGCCAGGGAAGTCATCACATGCCGTCAGCTCCTGCCTCTTGGATTTAAACACAAATATTATGTGCACCTCTAGCATCTACCCATGCACACAGTGGTCTCCATAGTCTTGACATATACAAACATATTTCTGAAAGGATAGCTACCATGTTTTAATTTCAACAGAAAATGAATGGAACAAAAATCAGCATTCATTTCCTTAGTATGCAAGGTACCACATAATATCTTTTACAGATCAACCTAAATGACACAAAAGAGTGAGCAAGATTTTCAGTTCTCCAGCTGTTAAATAAGGACAGGATGGGAAATATCAGGCCATAGTGTAAAAGCATAAGGTATCTGCAGAATGCTCCAGCAAGCCAGGCACAAACAAAAAAAAAGTGGATGCTTCCCATGGAAAATACTAAGTCAACAGTTTTAGACAAAGGCCTGAGAAACTATTACTTTGCTTTTGCTACTTGCATCCATCAAAGTATTAAACCCATCTTCAGTTTTTCTTCTAAAACAGGCCAAAGGTAGACCCAGTCCCAAACTCAGTATTTCCCATTAACACAGATCTAAACTGTGTAAAGATCTCCCATGAATATTAAGAGCAGTTATACATATGGAAATCTGATGCCTCAATAGCAACTTCTAAGGGACTTCACTGGTAAGGTCAAACTGTTACTATTTTCAGTATTTTACATCTAGACTCCTATATTTTTAGGTACAATTTAATACAATTTTCAGCATGTTTACTTAAAAGCAAGTCCCACCATAATAAGGGTGCTTAGGCTTACAGCTGTAGCAAGGGGGAACATGTAGGCAACAGTGGGTTTTGGACTGGATCAGCTATCTGCCTGTTAGAATTCTGAAGACTGGTTCAGTACTCTGAACAATATATTTACTTTGCACCAAAAATCTGAATCACCACAAAGCAGTGTCAATTTTCTTCATGTTTACCAGAACTGCAATGGGTTAGTATATTCTGCAGCAGCTCTTACTCTTTCATTCTCCAGTTATATCGTTGACACTATCAGTATGTCAAAACTCATAGCTGAATATGCATCCTCAGGGTTTCTCCATTCAAAACTGATCTTTCATTTATTTTCTGAAATTACACTCTATGCCACAGAAATAAATATTAATGCAACATTGATATGTAATACATATGCCTAATATGAAATTTCATCGTGCTTTAAGTTCAAACAGTGTAACTATTTTTAACATAGTTTTTATTGAACTAGCATAGAATAGTATTGCTTATATGGTAGCAATGTTTGAGGAGAAAGAAAAGCATCGGGGAACGTTCAACATTTCAATATGAATAAACCAGAATGCTTTTGCAGTCTTTGTATATCCATTCAACATCTGACATCATAAATCATGCCAATGATCATTGCATTAACTGTACAATAAGGTATTTTTCCACATAGAATTAAAGATACGTTTAATTTTAAAAGGCTAGAAAATTTCTCAGGCACATAAGCTATTAACATACTAAGATCATGCTCTCAAAACAATCCTAGTGACTATGGTTTTGTTCAGTTACTGATAGTATTACTGGTTTATATCAGGTTTAAGCATAGGCAATAAGTTACTTATATATGCTAACCAAAACAATGTTCCTTCTAAATTAACATAGTTGATGTATGAAAAGCATTTGAAATTTATTTCATTATTCTCTACAGTGCACTGCAAATAAAAGTAAAACAGCTTTTCCTGAGTTTTCATAGGACATTAGGCCAATTTCTTACAATATCACCACAATCTGTTTAAAATATGCACCCTTTAATCCTAGCTTTGACAAAACATAATTAAAAACAGCCTGAAAATGCAGAGAGATCAGAAAATAACAATTAAATCCTTCATTGCTACTTTGTGCATATGATTACATAGGTACATCTGTCAGTCTGAGACCAGTCTCCTTAAAGGCTGTAACAAATTATTAGAATTTTTAAATTACAAGTTCTGATTCATTCTTCAACAAATGCAATAATGCCCAACATCCTGTTCCCTCTCTAGGAAACCAAAGTAAAACAGCAATATAGAAGAGATCTGGGAATGTATGTTGTTCATTATAAAGAATCTCAAGAGAAATCATCCTGATGATGATGATGATTACAGACTGTGTGTTTCTAATTCAATCTTATCTTCAGTTTCCAAAGGCTCAGGTTCAGTTTGAGGAACAGGTGGTCGCAGTATGATTTCTGGTCCTCCTCCATAGATTGATTGGAGAAAATGCCATGTTTCCTCAGAAATCTGTCCAGAATCAGCTCCTGAAAAACATCAAGGGTTTTTTGTTTGGTTTTTTTTGTAAAGGCATAGCTGATATTCACATTCCTTCTCTGTTGTGAAGCTTGTTGAGTGAAACTGGGCCAATCAGTGCCTTAAGCCTAACCACCATATAAGGTTGTTGTGAGAATAAAATGGAGATGGGGACAATGCTGCCTTGAGCTATTTGGAAACCCAAAACAAAAGGAGAAGTCAGGGCAAGACAGCAATATAATACCGAAACTGTGACTGAATAGAAAAAACAATAAATCATAAACAGTTGTTAAATGTATATTGTGTCACAGTAATTATTAGAAGCATGGGCAAAAAGGCAAAAAGTCCTCAAAGCTATAGTTAAAGGAAACAATCCTCTTAAGAGATATAAAAGTGTCTGTGAAAGTACATAAATCCACAGTAAATCTGAAGTCCTCCTGTCAGGAGTTCAAGGAAGCAGACGGTCCTCATATTGAAAGGCAGTAAATTATCAGATGGCAGGAACCTGTTTCTAAATGAGATCTTTCTCAAGTCCAGTTGCCATAATAAAATGTATGAAGGCAGAGACCTCAGTCAGAAAGCCTCCATAATCTCTAAATGCTGCAAGGCAACGAATGTCCAAGCAGTCTAACGTTTGCCAAAAATGCTATTTGGAGGCAAAGCAAGACAAAAATGTGACAGACAACTCTTTGTTCAAATTTTCTTCTCAAAGAGGCAGAGTGTTTCAGCCCTGTTCCAAGGAAATGCAAGCCCAGTAGACTCTGACAATGTATTCCTAGATTTTTGTAATGTGCATGTAAGGTAAAGGTAAAGGTTCCCTTGCTCGAAAGCCAGTCGAATCCGACTCTAGGGTTGCGGTGCTCATCTCCGTTTCAAAGCCGAAGAGCCAGCGCTGTCCGAAGACGTTTCCGTGGTCATGTGGCCGGCATGACTAAACACCAAGGCGCACGGAACGCTGTTACCTTCCCACCAAAGTGGTCCCTATTTATCTACTTGCAATTTCTTGCTTTCGAACTGCTAGGTTGGCAGGAGCTGGAACTAGAGACAGGAGCTCACCCTGTCTTGCGGCACCCGGGTCTTGAACCGCTGAACTACTGACCTTCCACAGCCTGCAGTTCAGCGTCTTAACCACTTGAGCCACCGCAGCTCCAATGTGCATGTACTCCAATGAAATTACTACTCCTAATTTATTGTTACATTGTGAGTTTAGATCCTTTTTTTGTAAGCTGTTTTGAGTCCTGCTTTGCAGAAGAAAAGTGATATAAAATATTCAAATAAATTCTCACCACTAAATATTTAAATTAAAAAAAAAAAAAAGTCAGAGAACAACAAAAAATATGAGGACCACTGAGGAGAGAACAAAAATTCTAATCCCTAAACACTTGCTTGTTACTCCTTGGTATGAAGCATGGACAGCTTCAGCTTGCATATTTCTAAAAAATATAGAAATCAGGAGGGCTAGAAAACAGTACTTAAAAAGAAAATGTGAAAATCATTAATCAATTCAGGAATAGATGTCAAAACATGTACTTTTACTGTCTTTGATTTTAATGTTGTATATGCCATTAAAGGTCTATTGATTGATTGATTGATTGATTGAAAACATGTACTGTAAAGCAAACATGGGAAGAGTACACAGTGTTTTTCATGAGAATTGTCATGGTCAGATATTACTCTTTGCCTTGAAGAGTATATGAGAAACTATCCTGAGCACAAGGTATATTCCCAAAGTATCAGACTGTTAACTTAGTGTTCTTTTTAATAATGGAAATTAGAAAAGCTGAAATAGTGAGCGGACTAGAGAACTGTGGTCGAAGTGTTTAAACATTTCTGATGTAGAAAATATACAAAAACCCCACAGATATAGCAGCAGTCAATGATACATGCACAACAGCACTGTAGCAAAAGGAGAATGGCTGCAAGACAGATTATCAGTAGGCCCATACCTTGCTTCAAAAGAACAGTTCCACATTTACTGACAGCAATTTTGGTATTGTCAATGGGACCTGGAGGATCTGGTGAAAGAGAAAAATATATGATTTAAAGAGATATGACAAAATGATACGCATTTCACACACTGTGTGCCTTTTATTTTTGCCTTATGCAGTGTTTAAATTGTTAAAGATCATGCTCTGTATATCCTGGTCCTACTGCTAATAACATTTTAATAGTGCTTAGTGTCTAGACACACAGTTCAATGAACTCATCTTCAAGCATACAAGGAACCGGACATATTCAGCTGGACTTTTCTTCAGCAGCTACCCTACTTTATTGTTGTTTTATAAATATTTCTGAACAGAGATTTGTAAGCAGGCTATCCTTCACAATACTTATGAAGATCTTAAGATGCAGCATTAAATTGGGGCTTCATATTTATTTAAAACATTTCTGTGCCGCCTTTCAACCCAACTAGGGGTCCCCAAGGCGGGTGAACATTAAATCGTATTAAAAATTAAAAGCAGCATTTAAAATATAAAAAAGGCAAACATCAAAACATATTAAAACATTTAAATACAAAAATATATTTTTACAATTTAAATATTTATATTTAGAAATATGCTTGCAAAGAAAAAGGGTGTCCTTGATTGATTTAATAGCTGAACGTGGTAGATAACAATGTGAGCTCCTGCAATGTGCCAATTTATTTATTTAGCTTTTATCCAGCTCCTTTCCCTGCCAAGCAGGGCTAGGATGGCTTCCAACAATTAAATGAACAATAAATATACAATTAAATGTACAATAAACTATACAATAAGTCCATCACAATTTAAAACCAGTCATACAGTTAAAACATTATCAATTATAGCAGATTGCACCTTGGAGGAAGCCAGTACAAGGAAATTCTTGGCCCAATGGTAAGAGGAGGTCAAATGATCTTTCTAGCTGTCCCTGTCCTCAACCATACAGCTGGTGGAACATCTCCGTCTTACAGGCCCTGCAGAATTGGACCAAATCTTACAGGGCTCGGGTCTCAGAGGGTGCGGTCAGACGGGCCGTTTAGTCCGCTTTCGGCACGCTTCAGTAATGGATTTTATATGCACGTTCACACACCCAACCTCTGTGCACTGTCCCCAGCCGTCGCTTTCCAGCTTAAACACCCTTTAAAACGGAGTGTTTTGTTACCAGGTCCCCAAGTGGTGTTTTCCTGATGCTCCGGTTCTAGCCGCACTTTTCTGATGTCTGATCGCTCCTGTAGTGTTGAGCCACTTCTGGTTTAAACCCCCTCCCAGCTCAAAAGCTGCCTGAGGCTTCCGCTTTTTGCCCGCCATTTTTTAATGTGTTGGCAGTGTGTGCATAGGCGGAGCTCTGCCACCGTGTTTAGAAAACCGACATTTAAATGGTCACTTGTTTTAGCGTTTAGATGAGTTCGGGATTTCATTGGAGACCATTTTCAGGTCAAACTTTTAAAGTGAAGTCTTTTGTTGGAGGGGCTGGATTGATTTGCCCTGGTGGTTCTATGCCTGTGCCATGATAGTTTCCCCCCTTTTACGGATGGGCGCCTATGCGCATGCGCAAACTGAGAAAAAAAATTAAAAACCCGCCAACACGCGATCCTGTGCGTCAGTACTGTAGACACTTGGGAGTGACGTGACTGTGCGGTGAGGCAGGATAAGGGAGGTGAGTATGATCGTGATTATCTAGATCAAATATAATCCGGTTAGAACCAGAGCAGTTTAACCCACTCTCAGCACGCTGTCTGACCGCACCCAGAGAGTTCCACCAGGTAAGTACCAAAACCTTGAATCTGATTTGGTACTTAATCTGTAACCAGTGCAGCCAGTAGAGCACAGGCTGTATATGTGCTCTCTGGGGTCTTAGTAACGAACCACGCCACTGCATTCTGGACCAGTTGAACTTTCCAGAGCAAGTTCAAGGGCAGTCCTGCATAGAGTGAGTTACAGTAGTCTAATCTAAAGGGGACTGTTGGATGGATCACTGTGGCCAGGTCAGTGCGGGACAGGTAAGGAATCAATTGCTGGGCTTGGTGAAGATGAAAAAAAGCCATTCTGGCTGTATTTGTGACCTGAGTCTCCAACAAAAGGGAGGCATCAAGGATCACACCCAAGCTCCTGACGGTGGAAACTGGTATCAGTTGTACTCCGTCAATGCATTAGGCCCTTCTCTTTCTGTTCTTTATTATTATTTCTAAATTTTCAGTTCTTTCTGTTCTTACAGACTATCACCACAGTAATTATTGAGGCATACAAAACAAACATATACTATAAAAAGCACATTATCTCCCTGGCAGAGATTTGAAAGCCACTCACCACTGTCCTTGCCCTTCACAAACCCTTCCCATTCTCTAAACCACTGCATACTTATACAATAAAATATGGATGGAGACTCCTCCTCTTGGAATGCTCTGTTAAGCTGAAAGACATAAAACAAACTCCGTTATAGATACAATACAAGCAGGGAATTGTCCACAAGGAATTGCAGAGGTTACTTAATTTTGTCTGATAGCCCCCACTGCACCTGGGTGAGTTGTACACATTGCATGGTACCAAGTTGCCTTGTGGATGCTGCTGGGCCTGGCTCTGATGAGTCCTCCCTCCACAATGGCCACTGAGATCTCAGGAGATGTTTATTTCTTAAATGCACTGCTTCTGTTGCTTGGGGGGGGGGGGTTAACCCCTCAATGCATTTTGTTATTTTTTCTGCAAACCTGGGACTTTTCTCAGGTTTGCAGAAAATTGTCTTATGTTCATGGACCCAAGTCTCCAATCTCCAGATTTAGGCATCCACAGGTGGGGCCATGTTGAGAATTAGATATATTTACAATCAGAGAGGTATCTCATTTTCCCTCTGAGAGGAGGACATCTTGATGGGTGTTTCCCACCCTATCTGTAGAGAGACAGGAACCAATCTTTCCACTTCCCGTCCTCTCGATGGGACATGCCCCTCAACTCAGTTCTGTTCCTGCCTCAGTAGGGAGAGCAGCATGAAGTTGGCACTTGTGCCTTGTGCTTAATTTTTCTTTTTCCAACCTCATTCCTTCTCCATTCCTCTTAACTATTTTCTTCTCCCTCCTCGTGCTTACTCCTTGCCTGTCCTCCAACTGCCTTACTTGGCTTCTGCCTTTCCCCCTCCAACTTCTTGTCCTTCCCGACGCTCCAGCTGGAGTATGTCGGACCAGGATGGATTCAACAGATTTCTTTCCAAGGGTAAGCGGGAAGCTTCCCTCACTGCCACCAAGACTCAGCCGCCTAAGGGGAAATCCAGAGCTCCAATCCCCACCGCTGCCAGGAGCCAAGCCATGCAAAGAGAAAAGTGTGCAAAAAAGTGGCCTCACCCTTCGCCCGCAGCTCTTGGCACGAGTGCCATTTGGGACCAGCCTGTAACTCGGAGGCCCCCAGAGAGAGCGGTGGAAGGCTGCGGAGCAGCTATCGCTGTTACCATAAGCCAGGCAATGGACACTGATGACGGGCAGGATATCCCTAACGTCCAGGGCACTACAGCGGATGCCTCCAGAGACACAGAGCCACAAATGGGTCTACTCAAGTCATGAGTAACCCCAAAAGGGGGGGGGACCTCTTAATTTTGTCTGAACTTATGCACTTTTTAAGGCAAGCCATGAGGGAAGAAATCTTCAGCTGCTGCCAAATTCCTCTCATAGGGGACAGTTCTCATCCCACCCCCTCCCCCATCTACAGGGATTATACACAGAGAGACTCAGAGCTTTCCTAGAGGAAGACAGATCTTGCTGGCCAACTAAAGCAGCCAGAAAAGACCATTACTCTACCATGCAGGACCATCGCCATTGGGATTCCTTACAGGTTGAGGACAGTGAGCTGAGAGATAAAGAGGATGGGGAATTTCTATCAGATAAGGAGGAAGAGTTAGAGGTTCCAGAACTTTCAATGCAATTTTTTAAGCCTGAAGACTACCAGTATCTTCTTACTAAGACACTGGCTGTCTTAGAGCTGCAACCAAACCCCCCAACAAACGAGCCTAGTAACGTGGCTCACTCAGATGAGTCCAGGCCAAGAGGTAGCAAAGAATATTTTCCCAGGACTCTGGGGACAGAGAGGGTTTTTCCTTTTCCTGAATTCCTAGAGAAACAGCTTGTGAAAGAGTGGGCCAAACCCATGTCCTCCCAATGTTAAGAAATTATATGCTTACCAGCCTTTACCAATAAGTTCCTACAGGTTCCCCTGATGAATGCCCTGATAATGGCACTTCAAACCTCTGGTCTGCTTTCAGAGGACAGGGAAGGCACTGTGAAGGATAGTCTGGACAAGAAGGCTGAATTTGCTTTAAGAAAGGCTCATGAGGCCACAGGCATGGCCATCAAGGCATCAACCACTGCTACCACCATGGCAAGGGCAGCAATAGCATGGAAACCCTAAGATCCATCACAGAGGCTCTGCAGCCGGGGAACTTTCTGACTTCAGTTGATTTGACCAAAGTGTACCTTCACATTCCCGTCTTCCGGGGCCACAGATGGTTCCTCCATTAATGTGTGCAAGGGCAACATTGGCAGTTCAGAGCACTACCCTTCGGCTTCTCAACCGCCCCAACAGTATTCTCGAAAATCCTCATATACCCTATTGTCTTGCTGTGAAAAAGTGGAATACACATTCATCCCTATCTGGACAACCTTCTGATTCGCTCCAGCTCTGAAGCCAAGACTCACCAGGACACAGAAGACACCATCCAATGTCTGCAGTCTCACGGGTTCCTTGTGAACATTCAAAAAAGTTGCCTAACTCCCTCTCAGTCAATTGAACACTTAGGCATGATTCTGGACATGGTTCAGAACCGTATGATTCTCCTAAAGCCCAAGGCGGCGAAGATCCATTCTCTTTCACAACAAATCATCAAAGGCAAACAGTCCTCGCTGATGACCCTAGCCAAGCTAGTGGGGCAGTTCATTTCCTGCATAAATTCTGTGCAATGGGCCCACCTAGATGCAAGATCTCTGCAACAGTTTCTACAACCCTTCCAGTCCACAATTATGAGAGGACCTTCCAGTCAAAGTCCCCCTCAACGTGAAGTTCAAGCCTAGTATGGTGGACCAAGACAAGGAATCTTCTGCAAGGCTGTGCCTAGTACATTGCAGACTGTAAGCAGATAATCACGGATGCCAGTCTTCAAGGTTGGGGAGCAGTCTATATCAACTCACCAGCTCAGTGACTATGGTCCAGGGAGGAAAAGAAGCTACCTAGAAACCTATTGGAACTCAGGCCCATTCACCATGCCCTTCTGCACTTCAGTTCGCAGATCATCAGCCACCATGTCCTCCTCAGGATGGACAATGTATCTGCCAAGGCATACATAAACAGTCAGGGGGGTTCCAGGTCCTTGTTGTTTCACAGGAAAGCCTCCAAGTTGCTACAATGGGCAAAAATCAATGTTGACTCCATCAAGGCAGAACACATAAAAGGCACTCTGAACACTCGGACAGACTGGCTCAGTCGTTGGCAACTACAGGAAGGTGAATGGTTCCTGAAGATTCAAAGTGCTGGTTCTTACCTATAAAGCCAGGGTCCGGCTTACCTGAGGGACCGCCTTTCCCCATATGTTCCTCCTAGGGCACTACGGTCGGGGGCACAACACCTGTTGGTTATCCCAGCCTTAAAGGTTGTTAAATATGCTGCTACCAGGGCCAGGGCTTTTTCGGTGGTGGCTCCTACCTAGTGGAATGAGCTCTTGGAAGAGATCAGGGCCCTGTGGGACCTAGCACATTTCCGCAGGGCCTGTAAGACGGAGCTCTTCCGCCAGGCTTTCGAGTAGGAGCTGCCGCCGCCACTGTACCACCACCGTGTTGTCATCTTTGTTGGTGGAATCTTTTTACAAGGTGCGTCGGCCCTGGGATGGAAGAACGGACAAAGTGGAGTACTAACCAGAAGAGACATCAGCATTCCCTGGAACGTATCATCGGAATCCCCATCTTGGAATTGTTATAGTTTACTGTTGAGCACCGATTTTAATTGTAATGATTATTTATTGGCTTTAAATTGTTTTATGTATGGCATTTGCCTCTTATGTTAGCCGCCCTGAGCCTATGTGGAAGGGCGGGATATAAATCTATTAATAAATAAATAAATAAGATGGACTAATTCAAGCTAATTGTGCGTCATTTTGGCCTCCCAGCAGTGGACCTGTTCGTATCCCCAGGTTTTTCATCACAGAGCAGGTTTTTCATCACAGAGCAGAGGTGACAGATGCACTGGTGTCCCAGTGTCTGCCCGGGCTCATGTTTGTGTATCCTCTGACCCCAGTCCTTCCGAAGGTCCGAGAACTGGGAGATCATAGTGGTAGCTCCACATTGGCCAAGGAGGTCATGGTTCTCAGAGCTCCAGAATCTCATCCTTCAACCATCAGTTCCTCTACCAGTGACTCCAAACATGCTAACTTGGGCCCATCTGGCACCCAGACCCGGGCTGGCTCCATTTGACAGCTTGGCGACTGAGCAGGAAAAACTCAGACTGGGCTACTCTGAAAAGGTGACAAGCACCATGTTGGCCTCCAGAAGGCAGTCCACCAGCAGGATGTATAATGCCACTTGGAAGGGCATAGATCCAGTGAAGCCTCATATAAGGAATGTTCTGACCTTCTTGCAGGACGGCCAGGATACTAGGTTGAAGGCCTCCACTCTCAGACGTCAGGTGGCGGCCCTAGCTATGGTCCTTCCTGCATTCAATGGCTGGGGACTCTCCAGACACCCTCATATCCGTAAGTTCCTAAAAGGTAGCAGCTCTTCAGGACCCTCCCACTTCTCACGGATTCCCCATATGGTGGTTAAATATGGTCCTTCATGCACTGACCAGGCCCTCTTTCGAGCCCATCAAGGAACTTCCCCTGAAGTGGGTACGGATGAAGACCTTATCTCTGGTGGCAATAACTTCAGCACAGAGGGTGTCAGAATTTGGAACCCTGTCCGCTAACCTGCAGCTCTGCATGTTCCACAAGGACAAGGTAGTGCTTACTACAGACCCTACCTTTCAGCCAAAGGTAAACTGTCAATTCTACAGATCACAGGAGACCTGCTTGCCATCTTTTTGCCCAAATCTGGTTCATCCCAAGGAATGGATCTGGCACTCTTTAGACATGCGATGTGCCCTGAAGACTTTCCTTCATTGCACTAGTGGCTTTAGGAAGATGGATGTAAGATGTCCAAGGCCACTATTAGCTCTACTCTCAAGTCTTGCATCACCGAGGCCTATAGGGCTCAAAAGCTGGTTCCCCCTCCAGGAATCACCGCTCACTCCATTCAAAGCACAGCAACAAATGCAGCTTTGGCAAGCCACATCACAGTGGATGAAATTTGCAGGGCAGCCACATGGTTGTCAATTTCTACGTTTATTAGACACTATAAGATAAACGTCTATGATTCAGCTGATACAGCCTTTGGCCGAAGGATCCTG